TATAGACGAGCTGGTGGACCAGGGAGTCTCTATAGACGAGCTGGTGGTCCAGGGAGTCTCTATAGGCGAGCTGGTGGGCCAGGGAGTCTCTATAGGCGAGCTGGTGGGCCAGGGAGTCTCTATAGGCGAGCTGGTGGGCCAGGGAGTCTCTATAGGCGAGCTGGTGGGCCAGGGAGTCTCTATAGGCGAGCTGGTGGGCCAGGGAGTCTCTATAGGCGAGCTGGTGGGCCAGGGAGTCTCTATAGGCGAGCTGTGGACCATGGTGCCTCTATAGACGAGCTGGTGGACCATGGTGTCTCTATAGAAGAGCTGGTGGACCAGTGAGTCTCTATAGACGAACTGGTGGACCAGGGAGTCTCTATAGACGAGCTGGTGGACCAGGGAGTCTCTATAGACGAGCTGGTGGACCAGGGAGTCTCTATAGACGAGCTGGTGGACCAGGGAGTCTCTATAGGCGAGCTGGTGGCTGGTGGGCCAGGGAGTCTCTATAGGCGAGCTGGTGGCTGGTGGGCCAGGGAGTCTCTATAGGCGAGCTGGTGGCTGGTGGGCCAGGGAGTCTCTATAGGCGAGCTGGTGGGCCAGGGAGTCTCTATATAGGCGAGCTGGTGGGCCAGGGAGTCTCTATATAGGCGAGCTGGTGGGCCAGGGAGTCTCTATATAGGCGAGCTGGGGGGCCAGGGAGTCTCTATATAGGCGAGCTGGTGGGCCAGGGAGTCTCTATATAGGCGAGCTGGTAGGCCAGGGAGTCTCTATATAGGCGAGCTGGTAGGCCAGGGAGTCTCTATATAGGCGAGCTGGTAGGCCAGGGAGTCTCTATATAGGCGAGCTGCTGGGCCAGGGAGTCTCTATAGGCGAGCTGGTGGCTGGTGGGCCAGGGAGTCTCTATAGGCGAGCTGGTGGCTGGTGGGCCAGGGAGTCTCTATAGGCGAGCTGGTGGGCCAGGGAGTCTCTATAGGCGAGCTGGTGGGCCAAGAAGTCTCTATAGGCGAGCTCGGCTCCGATATATATTTATTAATGTAATCCTTCTCCAAGTAATATCATGCACTCTATAGCAAACTGTAACTGTTCTAAAGCCAAATGTTGATAGGTGGTATGATCTACTTGAAATAAACTCTTTTGTTACGGGAGCTTTACTAAATATGCATAGTGGTGTAGGGTATCATAAAGTCGACCCCGCCTATTGACTATTCCTTACTGATTTTTAAATACGTAAGAATGAAAATAATTTCGATTCCCATTTTTTCGGTATAATCAATTGAACAATACAGTTACATTTTTTCCCATACCGTAATTGTTGAGCCTAAATTGCAATTGTCTTCAAATATCAAATTCATATCACCTCCACCTTTAGCCGATGTCTAATTGCTTTAAATAATTCATGCTCAGAGCATTAAGTGTCAAATAAAACAAAACATTTATCTCCATTGACATGAAGAATGTATTGACGTGTTTGTCAATCAATAAAGGATATCAAATTGTCGCACCCATACTCCGGACAATTTCAACAATTCATGTTCGACAATTCCCCATAAAAAATAGGATATGTACATCTGAAATATAAAAACATAAAAATTCAATCGATTCAATTTATAAATGTCATTTTTAATAGGAAATCTATTGCGAACAAGTTCACACATGCACACACACACATACACACACACATATGTGAATGCTCAATCAAATTCTCTCCACAGGGATTTTAAAGCATGTTATCTGTTATTTAATATGAATGACATCACAACACTCGCATAGTTGCAGAGTTGACATTTTGAAGAGACTTGGAACTGTTGTTGGTTTTTTTTTAGCAAAAAACATGTTTAAATGATCTGTTCTCTAATTACTTTAAAGTGTAGTGTTGATATGCCTTTCATAGATGATACTGACTTGATTAATTTTCGATAATTGATGGACATGATGAGGCTGATGACATCTTGAAATAGAATAATGTTTTAGAAATAATTTCTTCAGAATATCAAATTAATTTTTATATTTCTTCGATATTTCTGTGGAATGAGGTTGGCGACATTTGTCATCATTAGCAGAGTGACATTTTAATGGGAATATTTCTTTCGTAGAACCTGTCTTAGATAGGAAATGTAAAAATAAATTGCATTTTTTCAATAAATGTTATCATATGGGCTAATAAAAGAAAATATAAGAGAAGAAAATGACAGAACAAAATGCCAGGGAGTGCGTGTTGATGAGTCTATAGAGGCCAGGGTGCCTCTAGTAGAGAAGAAAACGAGAGAGCCGGTTAAGAGCCAGAGCCAAGGGAGACATTATAGACAAGCTGAAGGCCAAGGAGCTTCCATAGTCGAGCTGAAGTTGTCTCCTTGGACGAGCAGAAGGCCAGTTAGTATCCACAGACGAGCTAGAGGCTAGGAAGTCTCTATAGGAAAGTTGAAGCCCAGGGAGACTCTATGGAGGAGCTGAAGGCCAGGGAGTTCAGTGAGTCTGTATAGATGAGCAGGGGATCTCTATAGAGCTGTGGACCAGGGAATCTCTGTAGACTCTATAGGCGAGCTGGTGGGCCCAGGGTCTCTATAGGCGAGCTGGTGGGCCTGGCAGTCTCTATAGGCGAGCTGGTGGGCCAGGGAGTCTCTATAGGCGAGCTGGTGGGCCAGGGAGTCTCTATAGGCGAGCTGGTGGGCCAGTGAGTCTCTGTAGGCGAGCTGGTGGGCCAGTGAGTCTCTGTAGGCGAGCTGGTGGGCCAGGGAGTCTCTGTAGGCGAGCTGGTGGGCCAGGGAGTCTCTGTAGGCGAGCTGGTGGGCCAGGGAGTCTCTGTAGGCGAGCTGGTGGACCAGGGAGTCTCTGTAGGCAAGCTGCTGGGCAAGGGAGTCTCTGTAGGCGAGCTGCTGGGCCAGGGAGTCTCTGTAGGCGAGCTGGTGGGCCAGGGAGTCTCTGTAGGCGAGCTGGTGGACCAGGGAGTCTGTGTAGACGAACTTGTGGACCAGGGAGCCTCTATAGACAAGTTGATGGGCCAGGGAGTCTCTATAGACGAGCTGGTGAGCCAGGGAGTTCTATAGGCGAGCTGGTGAGCCAGGGAGTCCTATAGGCGAGCTGGTGAGCCAGGGAGTCCTATAGGCGAGCTGGTGAGCCAGGGAGTCCTATAGGCGAGCTGGTGGGAAAGGGAGTCTCTATAGGCGAGCTGGTGGGAAAGGGAGTCTCTATAGGCGAGCTGGTAGGCAAGGGAGTCTCTATAGACGAGCTGGTGGTAGGCAAGGGAGTCTCTATAGACGAGCTGGTGGTCCAGGGAGTCCTATAGGCGAGCTGGTGAGCCAGGGAGTCCTATAGGCGAGCTGGTGGGAAAGGGAGTCTCTATAGGCGAGCTGGTGGGAAAGGGAGTCTCTATAGGCGAGCTGGTAGGCAAGGGAGTCTCTATAGACGAGCTGGTGGTGGGCCATGGAGTCTCTATAGACGAGCTGGTGGTGGGCCATGGAGTCTCTATAGACGAGCTGGTGGTGGGCCAGGGAGTCTCTATAGACGAGCTGTGGAGTCCAGGGAGTCTCTATAGGCGAATTATTCTATAAAATGATACATTTGAGCTAGTGCTGAGCCCATTCGTATAGAGAAGCTTGTGCCGAACCTATTCGGATAGGAGAGCTCCTGCCGAACCTATTCGAATAGAAGAGCTTCTACCGAACCTTTTAAAATAGGGGAGCTTGTGCCGTATCTTTTCAAATAGGGTAACTTGTGGGCCAGGCGATTAGAGCAGCTGGTGTCGAGCCTGTTCGAATAGGGCAGCTTGTGTCAATCTGTTCGATTAGGGCAGATTGTGTCGAACCTATTCAAATTAGGGAGCTTGTACCGAACCTTTTCAAATAGGGGAGCTTGTACCGAACCTTTTCGAATAGGGCAGCTTGTGTCGAACCTGTTCGAATAGGGTAACTTGTGCCGAACTTATTTGAATAGGGCAACTTGTGTCGAAACTATTCGAATAGGGCAGCTTGTGTCGAACCTGTTCGAATAGGCCAACTTGTTTCGAACCTGTTCGAATAGGCCAGCTTGTTTCGAACCTTTTCGAATAGGGCAGCTTGTGTCAAACCTGTTCGATTAGGGCAGCTTGTGTCGAACCCTATTCGATTAGGGCAGCATGTGTCGAACCTGTTCGAATAGGGCAGCTTGTGTCGAACCTATTCGAATCGGGCAGCTTGTGTGGAACCTATTCGAATAGGGCAGCTTCCGTCGAACCTATTCGAATAGGGCAGCTTGCGTCGAACCTATTCGAATAGGGCAGCTTGTCTTGAACCTGTTCGATTAGGGCAGCTTGTGTTGAACCTGTTCGATTAGGGCAGCTTGTGTTGAACCTGTTCGATTAGGGCAGCTTGTGTCGAACCTGTTCGAATAGGGGAGCTTGTCGGCACAACCTGCATCAATGTGATGAAGCTATTCGAATAGGGCAGCTTGTGTCGAACCTGTTCGAATAGGGCAGCTTGTGTCAAACCTGTTCGAATAGGGCAGCTTGTGTCGAACCTGTTCGAATAGGGCAGCTTGTGTCGAACCCTATTCGAATAGGGCAGCTTGTGTCGAACCTATTCGAATCGGGCAGCTTGTGTGGAACCTATTCGAATAGGGCAGCTTCCGTCGAACCTATTCGAATAGGGCAGCTTGCGTCGAACCTATTCGAATAGGGCAGCTTGTCTTGAACCTGTTCGATTAGGGCAGCTTGTGTTGAACCTGTTCGATTAGGGCAGCTTGTGTTGAACCTGTTCGATTAGGGCAGCTTGTGTCGAACCTGTTCGAATAGGGGAGCTTGTCGGCACAACCTGCATCAATGTGATGAAGCTATTCGAATAGGGCAGCTTGTGTCGAACCTGTTCGAATAGGGCAGCTTGTGTCAAACCTGTTCGAATAGGGCAGCTTGTGTCGAACCTGTTCGAATAGGGCAGCTTGTGTCGAACCTATCCGAATAGGGCAACTTGTGCCGAACCTGTTCGAATAGGGCAGCTTTTTTCAAACCTGTTTGAATAGGGCAGCTTGTGTCGAACCTGTTCGAATAGGGGAGCTTGTGTCGAACCTGTTCGAAAAGGGCAGCTTGTGTCGAACCCTATTCGAATAGGGCAGCTTGTGTCAAACCCTATTCGAATAGGGCAGCTTGTATCGAACCCTATTCGAATAGGGCAGCTTGTGTCGAACCCTATTCGAATAGGGCAGCTTGTGTCGAACCCTATTCGAATAGGGCAGCTTGTGTCGAACCCTATTCGAATAGGGCAGCTTGTGTCGAACCCTATTCGAATAGGGCAGCTTGTGTCGAACCCTATTCGAATAGGGCAGCTTGTGTCGAACCCTATTCGAATAGGGCAGCTTGTGTCGAACCCTATTCGAATAGGGCAGCTTGTGTCGAACCCTATTCGAATAGGACAGCTTGTGTCGAACCCTATTCGAATAGGACAGCTTGTGTCGAACCCTATTCGAATAGGGCAGCTTGTGTCGAACCCTATTCGAATAGGGCAGCTTGTGTCGAACCCTATTCGAATAGGGCAGCTTGTGTCGAACCCTATTCGAATAGGGCAGCTTGTGTCGAACCCTATTCGAATAGGGCAGCTTGTGTCGAACCCTATTCGAATAGGGCACCTTGTGTCGAACCCTATTCGAATAGGGCAGCTTGTGTCGAACCTATTCGAATCGGGCAGCTTGTGTCGAACCTATTCGAATCGGGCACCTTGTGTCGAACCTATTCGAATAGGGCAGCTTCCGTCGAACCTATTCGAATAGGGCAGCTTGTGTCGAACCCTATTCGAATAGGGCAGCTTGTGTCGAACCCTATTCGAATAGGGCACCTTGTGTCGAACCCTATTCGAATAGGGCAGCTTGTGTCGAACCTATTCGAATCGGGCAGCTTGTGTCGAACCTATTCGAATCGGGCACCTTGTGTCGAACCTATTCGAATAGGGCAGCTTCCGTCGAACCTATTCGAATAGGGCAGCTTGCGTCGAACCTATTCGAATAGGGCAGCTTGTGTTGAACCTGTTCGATTAGGGCAGCTTGTGTTGAACCTGTTCGATTAGGGCAGCTTGTGTTGAACCTGTTCGATTAGGGCAGCTTGTGTCGAACCTGTTCGAATAGGGGAGCTTGTCGGCACAACCTGCATCAATGTGATGAAGCTATTCGAATAGGGCAGCTTGTGTCGAACCTGTTCGAATAGGGCAGCTTGTGTCAAACCTGTTCGAATAGGGCAGCTTGTGTCGAACCTGTTCGAATAGGGCAGCTTGTGTCGAACCTATCCGAATAGGGCAACTTGTGCCGAACCTGTTCGAATAGGGCAGCTTTTTTCAAACCTGTTCGAATAGGGGAGCTTGTGTCGAACCTGTTCGAAAAGGGCAGCTTGTGTCGAACCCAGCTTGTGTCGAACCCTATTCGAATAGGGCAGCTTGTATCGAACCCTATTCGAATAGGGCAGCTTGTGTCGAACCCTATTCGAATAGGGCAGCTTGTGTCGAACCCTATTCGAATAGGGCAGCTTGTGTCGAACCCTATTCGAATAGGGCAGCTTGTGTCGAACCCTATTCGAATAGGGCAGCTTGTGTCGAACCCTATTCGAATAGGGCAGCTTGTGTCGAACCCTATTCGAATAGGGCAGCTTGTGTCGAACCCTATTCGAATAGGGCAGCTTGTGTCGAACCCTATTCGAATAGGGCAGCTTGTGTCGAACCCTATTCGAATAGGGCAGCTTGTGTCGAACCCTATTCGAATAGGGCAGCTTGTGTTGAACCTGTTCGATTAGGGCAGCTTGTGCCGCACCTATTTGAATAGGAGAGCTTTTGCCGCACCTAATCGAATAGGAGAGCTTGTGCCGCACCTATTCGAATAGGAAAGCTTGTGTGGTATAGAGGAAGTTGTGGTGAACCTATTCAAATAGGGTAGAGAATAGTTAGCTATGTGTCGAGAGGTTAAATAATACTCTCATCTGTGGTCTCCCCAAGATTCCTAAAACGGGTCCTACCCACAAAATATACACTACGACATGCTCTCATCCTTCATCCCTTGGTAAGAGTCTTTGCAATCTATACATACAAACCTTGTTTCTAGTCAGTTATTATCCGACACAATTATTATTTACAAAAAGGACAATTAAAATGATTTATAGCCTCATTTTTTGTTGTTGTCCGCCTTCAGCAACTGTCGCAAACATTTTCCACGTGATTTAATGTAAGACACAGGCAGACGCAATTGTTTGTTAACTTTTCTCATAATATTTGACTACTTTAAGTACAGAACTTTACAGACATTATAGAATTCGTTGAAGGCTTCTTAAGAAAATGCTTAAGTACCAAAAAAAAAAAAACAACAAATAAAAATAAAAAAATAAATAAAAAAATAAAACACAAAATATAAACCAGTAAGGAAAGCTCAAAAGTCGGGCGGGGCCGACTATATGATACCCTACACCACTATGCATATTTAGTATAGCTCTCGTAAAGAGGTTTATACAGGGCATTTCAGAGCTCTATGAGATATTTGGAACGAAATCGGATGAAGATATATATGGGAGGCATATCCAAATCGGAACAGATTTTAATAAAATTAAAATCAACTATTTTTGGGCTTTATCTGATATCTGGTACCAAATATCATTCCTGTGGAGTGCATATTACGAATGTGAGGGACTTAAAGACCAAATCGGATGAAAGATATATATGGGAGCTATAGCTATATCTGAACTGATTTTTACTAAAATTGGTGTACTTGCTTCTAAGCTGGTTTCGGTCGGATTTGCCAAAATTGATGCTATTACGGCCTTTTGGTGGTCAATAACCCGAAATCGGATGAAGATATATATGGGAGCTATATCCAAATCTGAACCGATTTCGATAAAATTTAAAACAGCTATTCCTGTGCTCCATCTAATACCTGGTACCAAATATCACGGCTGTGGAGTGCATAGTAGGAATGTGAGGGACTTAAAGATAAAATCGGATGAAAGATATATATGGGAGCTATAGCTATATCTGAACCGATTTTCAAATTTGATATACTTGCTTCTAGGCCGAACTCGGTTGGGTGTGCCAAAATTCAGGTAATTTGGACTGATAGTGGACATTTGGTGCACATTTAACCCGAAATCGGATGAAGATATATATGGGAGCTATATCTAAATTTGATCCGATTCTCACCAATTTCAATAGGGTTCGTCCTTGGGCCAAAAAAATATTGTTCGGAAAATTTCATCTCAATCGGATAATAAATGCGACCTGCATTTTGTTCACAAGAATACATGGACAGACGGACGGACGGACGGACAGACGGACTGACATGCATAAATCGACTCAGAAAGTGACTCTATGAAGGTTCTCAAAAGTGACTATGGGTCTATCTCGTTTCCTTCTCCATGTTACAAACAAATGCACAAAGACATAATACCCTTACCACTATGTGGTGTAGGGTATAAAAACATTTAACAACTCTTAAAGAGAAGGCAGCTACAACCTCCATTTAACATCCATGTCATCGAAATCGAAAAAGGTTCCTTTGCAAAATTTGTCTTTCCCCAAGAAAATGTCCTTACCTTCCCTTAGGCCAATTTCCCTAAAATTTATTTTCAATAATAACCCCGAATGAATAATAATTTATGAATTAATTATCTTTAATAAATTATTCGAAAATAATAATAATTGACTAATTTCCATGATAGCCTCAGGGCCATCTCATCCATAACAAATTTTGCAAAAATGTTAAAGCATTTATTTGCCATTCAATTAATTTCAAATATTGATGAACACATAACAATATTCGATACTATTATTATTATTATTTCAAATAATTCATTCGTTCTTCAAATTGTTTGGTCAACGGCATAACCAGCCAACTCAAACACGGCATTTTAAAGTCAAACCCCATCGGAAACTTTAATATTCCGAATACCATTTGTTGTTTAAAATTTCTGGTATTTGCCCAAGGCTTAGCACACACAGATGTGCCCCCCCAAAATTTGAAGCTGTGCGTATATATTTTATTGACACTGCAATCTGAACAATTAATTTTTGAAATTGATGGAAATTAATTGTTTCGAATATTTGGCATAACTGTGTTTAGCTTCTGAAAATTGTTTACCCTTTGGCCAAATGGAGGCAAATGTTGAGTGTGAAGTGAAATGTTGTTGGAATATTTCTGCTGAAATACCTTTTCACAAATGGCGGCATATTTTTTGTAATTACTTTAATTTTCGACAACAATTCGACAATTAAATATGGACGCAATGGTTTGAGGAATATGCATAATTATACCCTACAACACTATGTGTTAGGGGGTATTATAAGTTTGATTGGGCCAGAATTTATGTAACACCTCGAAATATTGGTTTCCCATATAGGAAAGTATATATGGATCTTCCTAGCTCGCCGAGCTGAGCCGATCTAGCTATGTATGTCCGTCCGTCCGTCTGTCCGTCTGTCCATGTTAATTTGTAATCACGCTACAGGTCGCAATTATGGCCCGATCCTTACGAAATTTTGCACGAAGGTGGGGTTTGGGTCAGAATAGAATCCTATTTCTTTTGGAGATGATCGCCAAATGTTTAGGGGTTGAAATGGACCAGATACTGAAAAAATGTCGGATTTTGCAGTAGCTATACAGATCGCAGTTATAGAGCAATCGACGCGGAATTTCGCATGTAGCTAGAGTTTAGGGCAGGGAAGAAGCCTACCAATTTGGGTGGTCATCGGATAATATTTAGCGGGTAAAATAGACCATATCTTTTTTGTTGAAAAAATTCAAAATTTTTCATTAAACCGCGAATATTTTAAATTCCGGCTAAATCACAAACCCATGAGAAGGTTACTTCTGATGTTATCATCCAACAAATCGGATATATAGCAAAATATGTGCGATATATATGTCCATCAAAGAAGATATGCTTGAAAGATCTCTTATATGTCGAGAACGGCTGAACTGATTTCGACAGTTCTCATTAATTCAGAATGGCCTCTTAGCAGGAAAGAAAAAACGTCTAAAAAAATCGCATAAAAATATCTCTCTAAAGATAAAAATATTGATTTTGTAAAATTTTCTCACATTTTTTCAATTTTGTCACATTTTTGGCATATTTTCATTTTGAATTAAAAATTTGGTAATATTTCTACAGCTAACAAAACTAAGTAGTTAGGATATCATATACACATCGCATTTATGGCCCGATCCTTACGAAATTTTGCATGGGGATAAGATGAGGGTCAGAATAGAAGCCTACTCTTTTTGGAGCTGATCGCCATATATTTAGGGGTTGAAATGGACCAAAAACTGCAAAATTGTCAGCAGGTCGTAATTATCGCCCGACCCTCACGCACAACTTTTGTAGACAAAATACGAAAATGTCTATTCCAGTGACTTTTTGGAGAATTCACAAATACAGGAAAGACGGACTTCTGACTATTTCGTTAACGCTGATTTCGTTGAAGAATATAGTCAAATGTCTGTATCTCATATAGATGCGTTTTAGTCAAAAACCAATAATAAATGTTAATCTTTTGTCACTTCTGAGAGATTATAGGTCTTTGGGAAATATTGGTTTCAGATCTAGGAAGACCATTTACGTGCAATATCTACCAATAAATTTGAAATGAGCAAATTAGTTTTAGTTGCTATTATTCGAAAATTAGAGAACGAAACCTGATGGTTTTCTTTTATTATTTGTCAAAATATCTTGTGGAATTCTTTCGAGTATATATATATATACTGAACCGATCATCACCAAATTTGAAATACTAGCTTCTAGACTCAATTCTGTCGTAAGTGCCAAATTCCATCCCATTTGGGCAAATATTGAACATTTGGTGCACAATAAAAGGTAAATCGGACGAAGTTATATATGGGAGATATATCCAAATCTGAACCGATCTCGATAAAATTTGGTAAAGGTATTTCTGAGCTGCATTTGATATATTTTCCCAAATATTGTTTTTACAGAGTGCATATTACGGCTGCGGAGGACAAAAATAACAAATCGGATGAACAATATAATTTTGCATACTTACTTTCAGGCCTAATTTGGTTGTATTTGCAAAATTTCATACTATTTGGGCTGATATTACACGTTTGGTGCATAATAAAAGGCAAATCGGACGAAGATATATATGGAAGCTATATCTACATTTTTACCAATTATCTCCAATTTCAATAAGGTTCGTCCTTGGGCCAAACAAATGATTTGTGCAAAATTTCATCTGGATCGGGCAATAAATTCGAACTGTACTTTTTTTAAAAATACATGGACATACGGACAGACGGATGGACATGCATAAGTCGACTCCGAATGTGATTCTATGCAGATCATCAAAAGGAACTATGGGTCTCGTTTCTTTTTGCCTGTTACAAAAACATAATACAAAGACCACCTGGTGGTGTAGGGTATAAAGAGCTGTAATATTTTATATATAGCCGTGCGGTTTGATCATGTGATATCCTCTAAAACTTTAATATTTAGGGAAGCTCCCTTAGGTCCAAACTCATTTAGTCGATTTTTTTGAAAAAATGCCATATTTAATGCCTGCAAAAATGTAAATTTTTGTTTTTGACCGTTGGCATTTGCCCCATATTTACTCCCCCTGTCGTTCAAAACAAGTAAAAAGTATCCTGAGTCCCGTATAAATGTGGCAGATTCGGGCTATATCGGCTACTTCATTAACCTTTACATGAGAAATGTTATAATTTTTAGAAAAAATCCGCTTCATCTAATATTTAAAATATAACATTTATTTCCAAATTTGTGTGAATAATTAATCAAAAGTTAAAGAGGTACCGGAATAAATGATCCAATG